GTTTTCCCGACGGAGGATTGCTAATCTCGAAGTTTCTTTTCAAGTTAAAGAATTTTCTCTAATTAATTATTTCGAAGCAAATTAATTAAATCTCAATAAACGAATCATAATTTAACTTTATACTCGATTTATAATTTTCACCATTAACGACAACGTGTAAGCGACACAGTACCAGTTTTTTGGGCGTTGTGGGGTGTTAATCATTATCCACGCGTAAACGACTTCCGAACCCGTTTTAATACGATTTCTGGTAAATGTTGTCTTAAAAATGATTTTTCTTAAAATTATTTTTAAAAGACATTTTTAGGTATTCGACCTACCTAATCCAAAAGGTCGATGGCGACTCTCATTCGATTTAATTTCAATTAATCCAAAATTCCCAATTTTTCAAAATTAAAATCATAATCGTTTTTAAAATAATATTTAATTGTTTTATCAAAAAATGGTTATGATACTATTATATAAGAGAGACAGCAAGAGATTTGAAAACAAAACACTATAATTTTTAAAGACAATATGGCTAGAATTCCTTGCAAGCATGTTCTGGTTGTTTTCATCTTCCTTTGCTTTATTTCTACAACTCCGATTGGTAAACTGAAACCTTAAACCCTTCAATCCTTGTCAAACCATTTGGATATGGATCATTATATTCGTCCTCGATTAACTCTTGTTTTCGTGTTTGTAGCTTGGTGTTCACCGATTGCTAGGGAAACGAAGGAGGGTCTCGGCGGTCAGGTGGTTACGGCAACCGGAAGCGGAGCACTCTCCGATGTTGATGAATTAGAAGCTATGGACTATACGCCGGCAAGAAGGAAGCCTCCAATCCATAATTAAGAGTTTTTTTTTTTGCAGCATAAGTATATTTTCTATTTGTTTAAGACGTTGAATTTATTTCTAAAGGTATGCTTTCTATATATATATATATATATATATATGTTGAGTGTAAGTAATTAATATTCGTATATAGTTTGAGAAATAAAGTTATGAAATGAATTATTTATATGATTGAGGCTCAAGATCATATAGAGTGTATATAAATATGCATTGCCATATTGCAGTAGCTAGGGTTTATGCATTTTCCATAAATATGCATTGTCATCTTTCATGCACGTTGCATGAACCAAATAATCTTAATAGAGTTTTCGAATTCTAACACCAGAAATGTGAGGGTGTGAGCATTTAATGTCAAATGATTGTGAGTTATCTCTGAACATATATTATCTTATATTTATCTCAGATTAACAAAAAAAAAATCTTTCATACATGTCTGAACATATACTTGCTTATACTGTCTTATGCTACCTGGCTAAATGTTTTTTTTTCAGAAAAAAGAAAACTCAAAATCAACTTCTTTGAATTGTAGGCATAAGAAAAAAAAAAGGTCCATAGCATTTGTAACAGTTTAATGATAAATTAATCCTGTTTAGATTCTGCTGTAGACAGTGAGATATAGCATTATTTGATCGATGTGATATGGTGTGTGTAGTGTGAGCCCTTCTTAAATCATCAAAGTTTAATCATTTTAGAATATATAGCATTTCATTTGTCTATTAGTTCAATAAGTTATAGATTATTAACATATTATTTGATATTTAAATTTATTTTTATAATTTAAATTATTCTAATTTTGTTTTTAATTTTAATTGATTTGCAAACTTAATATTTATTATACATTTTAATGTTAAGCATATTTGATAAAAATCAAATTCAAATATTAATTTTAAAAAACAAAATTTAGATAACAAGTGATACATAAACCTAAAAAATGTACAAATAAGTTATATCAAGTTGACACTTAAACTAGAAATGTAACACTCTAGACCAGGACGACACACAATCGACTGATGTAAAATGCCACACGGAACCACCGGAGTGGCTAACCAACTTTTTCACTCTTTCTATTAATTTAAAACAACCATTTTCAAATATATTTCAACATAAACATTCATAAAATAATATAAGTTAAAACTTTACACTGGGGTCCAAAGTAAATAAATAAATACATTTTAAAATATTACAAACCGACTCTTAACTGACTTTACAATGTAACTTTACAATTTGGTTTATGAATACACATAAACTTCAAAACTCGATGGCGTACTCTACTCTACACTGAATCTGGATCTTAGTAGCTCTAAAACTTCTCGACCTGCTCGATATACTAACCTACCCACGGAAACATCCGAAGGATGAGTTAACTAGCTCAGTGCCACACTAACAACTAAAACATACTAAAAGTTCATCATTGAAATGCTCAAACTATCAAGTCTGCTACTATCTCGTTTATCGTTATTTGGTCTACTGCTATATGATCTATTGATCTGGTCTACTGTTCTGTTCTATTATTCTACTCTATTGATCTGGTTGATTGTTCTGCTTCAATGAGTATACTCGTATACCCACTATCTACTCTATAGTAAACATCATGGTGCGACTGAGGTGCTACATCTCGGAGCTCACACACCCCTCTAGTTTACCGAGGATATGGTCCCCAGAATCTCTGCATCGGACACCATACCCCTGACTAACCCACCCCTCATGGGTGTTAAGGCCTCAAAAAACATAGTTAGTCGACTGAAGGGACTCGGCCCTACCTAAGGATATCCGGATTGATCTATACTTTCAACTTTGCTATCTTTCCTAAAGGAACTCGGGTGTCCTAGTCGTTTTCCCGAGCATTTCAAACAAGGATAGTCTTATTTGGTCCTACTTTTATTTTTGCTTCTACGTTTGATTTAAACAATAATTATGTTTTCGCTTATAGTCTTATTTGAAGAAATACTGAAGTGTTGGGTACCTCGAGTCTAAAACACTCAAAAACTGACTTTTCTGCCCAAAACAGACATATGGTATCGATACCCTTGCACTGGTCTCAATACCCTATGTGGGTCTCGAAACCATTTTTAGCTACTGAAATTTCGGTCTCGATACCAAGACAATGGTCTTAATACTATTACCCAGAAATTCATATTTTTACCCAGAAACAAAGAACATGTCTCGATACCAACCCTCTGGTACTGAGACTCGACCTGCAGAAAGCATCAAACAAGTACGAAAAACTACCAAAGACCTTAGTGAGGTCCCCAAACATGCTTAGAGTTTTATTTGAAGAACTAAGGTCATAATAAAGGCTTTATAACATGTTTATAACATAAAACGTGAAATCTACCATTAACATACAACACTGAGCTTCATAACTTGCTCTCAAGCTATAACTCATTTCTAATGAATCACTAGGAGTATGGAAGAGTTGATAGTGTGTTACCTGAACTCATTGGTTGATAAAATCTCCCTCAACTCAACTAGGAGTCACCTTATCTTCTTCCTTTGCTTTAGAACTTCACCCACCTCTTTAGCTAAATAAGGGTAAGAAAATGGTTACTAAACCAACTAAGCTCTTAGATTAAAGCTTAAAATACTCTAGGCAACTTGAACATACTAAAATAAAGATTGGATTCAAAGATCCCCTCAAAATTCCATAAAACCCATTTTGAAAACTAATCTTAAAACCTACAATATGAAGCTTAAAACAAAGCTTGAAGGATGGAGAGAAACATTCTTACCTTGGCTATAACAAACTAAACTTAGATTGCTTGAAACTTGGGCCTTGAAAGGAATGAGGAATGGAAACTAATGGAAAGAAGAAGAAGAAGAAGAAGAAGAAGAAGGGTGGGTGTGATATTATGGGAGAGTTGGTATACGTGAATGATATAAAAGAGGGGAGAATTTTCAGCTTTAGCAAAAAGGGTAAACAAAAATTTTAGGTCATTTTCCTATTTACTTATAAAAACACCACTTTCCCAAAACTATTGGGCCTTACTTAAGCCCAATACCTTATTTTAATTGATCTCCACTATCTTAGGAAATCTAATGGACTCGACTCTTGAGTTTGAGATAACCCGAATTACTGACCCGAAATTCGGGTGTTACAATAAAACAAATTAAATTAATTTATTAATATGATATTTTAATAATCAATTATATTATGATAAATAGTATTGGGTAAAGTACACGAATGGTCCCCTTAATATAAGGTACTCTTTCATCAAGTCCATTGACTATTATAAGCTACAAAAAGTCCTTCGACTATAAAGTGTTGTTTTGTTGAATCCCTTGACTATCAAAAGTTACAAAATGATCACTCGACTATTCATTATGTTCCAAACTCGTCCTTTTCTGTTAAAAAAAATGACAGTATTTTGAGTATAACGTTAACTTACTGACTATGATATGATAAAATCTGATCCAAAAATCTTATGACATCTCAGTCATCATGTTAACGTCCAGCTTAGACAACTGTCAAATTTTTAACAGAAAAAGACAAGTTTGGAACATAATGAACAATCAAGTGACCATTTTGTAACTTTTGATAGTCGAATGACTTAACAAATAAACACTCTATAGTCGAATGATATTTTATAAATTTTAATAGTAAAAGTATTTAATAAAACACTATCCTATAAGCGGGGTCATTTGTATACTTTATCCTATAGTATTTAATGATGTCATCATTTTTTAACTTATTAATACAATGCGAGTAACTTGATTGATTGCATAGTTGTGGAGTCAAAATAGGTATCAATTTTTTTCTCTAAATTCATGTATGAATTTTAGATAAACTAAAGTTTAATTACCAATTTCTAAACTATTACTAAGTCAAAGTACCAATTTGTATAATAAACAAATTTAAAATGACTTCACTAAAAATAAAATAACGCAAAGCAAGCACACTCCAAAACACCCAATTCCACAAATTCGACGGTGGATAACAAAATCACAGTATTTCGTCACCACTCCCCATAACCGTACAAGGAGTGGAGCCCACCTCGTGTCCAGTTGATAGCAAATGGCCACGTGCCACGTGTATAAAGTGATTAAAAGTACAGTGCTTTGGGTCTGAATAGAGGCAGACAAATTTTTTTTTTGAGGGCCAAAATCTTAAAAACTGGAAAAAGGAAAATAATGTGAATGCAAAGAAAGTAACAGAGAGAAGCAGTTGTATTCAGAGTTACCATCCGAGGAATCAAAGGATCTTTTTTCAGGGAAAGGAAAAAAACCCAAGTTTTGAAGAGAAAAGAAACTGTTTGCTGGGTGTTTTTTGCTCTGGGTTTAGAATTATTCATCTACTTGCTTGAAATAGAGGTAAGAAAGATTCAAGCTTTACTCAACTTTTCCCATGGTTTCATTAAGTTGTACTTGCTTTACTGCTTATTTTATCCCTTTCGGGGTTTTGAATCTGGGATTGCTGAAATGCTGGGTTTCAATGAATTTTCTGTTTTGAAGAAAAGTTAGTATTGTTTTTTCGGGCAGAAGAATTATTTGTTAAGCGAATAAGCTGTACTTATTCTACTAGCTTTGTCCTAGAAAATGCTGGATTTGCTTTGTGTTGTATTTTCCATTTTGGGTATAAGTGTAGACAAGGACCTGAATATGGAAGCAGTTCTTGGAAATTGATTAATTTGGCTATGCTAATTGGTCTTTTTCAAATGGGAAATATTTGAATGACATTCTCTTGGGTTTGTTCTTTTCAACAATACTTAATCTCGTGTGCTTGATTCGAGTGACTCTAGCTAAAATGCTGGTGTTTTGAGAGAGTACTAGTTGTTTTTCAATGACTTAGCTTGTTGTGGCTTGTCGAAGTGAGATGATTTATTTAGCTGTTTTGTTGAGCGGAAAACGGTTTCAGATGTCGTTCCTAGACCTTACAAGCTAGTAGAAAGATGGTTTCTCCTCCATCCAAATTGCTCCATTTCCTTACATTTTGTTGCTCTCCATGGAAGCAAAGTGTGGAAATCTTATCAGCTTGTGTCATTTGTATATCAGAACTGCTTTTGTCACAATGAATCCTTCATAAAAATCAGATATGATTGAGCCTTTCCAAGCTCAAACTAATTTAAGGTATTTAGATTCTTCTGTGTATTAACAAATTATCTTACAATCGAAACAATAGATATATAAGTTGACTCAGACCTCATTAGAAAGAATATAATGTGTGACCTATAGTTGTGTGCATGTATGATAGTGCAGTTCTTTATATATCAATCTAATTTGTGACCTAATTTGTCAAAGAAATATTGACAGGGTTAAGTGGCTGAGCATTATTTTTATGTTGTCATTTGTAACTGGCGTGGAAGTTGATTTCAATGAGCTTATGTAGCTGTTGAAGAATATCTTCTGGATGGTAAATCTGAGCTCGAATTGGTCATAAGAAAGCTTGTTGGAACATGCTTGAGCCAAGAGAATCTGATATACCCGCATTATTTCTGGTCTTGGTGGTGTTCCCTCTGGTTGCTTATTTCTTGCTTGGGAGATGGAGTGAGGTTTCAAAGAAACGAGAGAAGATAGGTTTACTTGCTCATCTCTCCGCTGAAGAAGCTCTTACAGCAGAAGCAATGGCTTCTGTCAGTGTTATTCCAGTTGTTCCTATTCCGAAGAAGGGATTGCATGTGTGTGCTAGGTGTTTTGGTCCAGCTACAACTCGCTGCTCGAGATGCAAGGCTGTTAGATATTGGTATATTCCATCGCTTAGCAGCTGCAATGCATCTTTTGTTGCTTTACTTCATTGTCGTTGAATGGTTTACTTGTTTATTATCACTCTGCAAACATAGATATGCCTCCCTCGTGGTTGCCTTTCGAAAATGGATTTTGGATTCATTTATATCCTGGAGTATATTCTATACATTCTTGGGAACTTTTTTGTGAACCCTAGCCATGAGCTGATATATTTATTATTGTTTTTGGTTGTTGAAAATTTTCCTTCTACCTTTCGTATATTTCTACTCTAAAACTGTTGAGTTTATGCAGTTCTGGGAGGTGCCAGATTATTCATTGGAGGCAAGTTCATAAGGAAGAATGCCTGCAGTCGGAGAGTGAAAGCTCGAGCGTGAGCATGTTTCCTAGTGTTGCCTCATTTGAAGAATCTGCGCTACTCAGTGACAACATGAATTCACAGTTCTTAGAATACATTAATAAGCAGGCTGTCAAGGAAAATGCACCTTTAGATAATATAAATCATTGTCCCGTAACCACTGGATTATTTGATAATGGGGATTGTTCTACTATCGGTACCTCTCAGATCTGTGCACCAGAGAAACGTGCAGACAAAAGAATTTCTCGTAAATCCAATGGAGAAATGCTAAGAAGAGAGGATGTAGCTGTATTTGATTCTTGTGAGGAGACCTTGAGAACTAGAGAGACTAGTTCGACACTTAATAATATTTATTCGAAAGAGGCTCTTAGAAAGCATAAGGTTCTCATCTTAAGATTTTCATGTAGAATGTGTTAACTTTTATCTAATCACATTGTTTCTGATAATTGCATCAAACTATTGCTGCAGTCAAGAACTAGTGGTTTTGTTGTATCCGAAGATGGAATCCTTAAACAGGAAAAGGCCAATGGCTCTAACATGCATATTTGTGGACAAAATTTAAGTAATGCCATTCATGAGGGTCATAAACATCAAAGCCAACGTGGCAACATGTCCGAATCCAAAAGCAACTATGAAATTTCTGGCTCACCATATTCTGTAAAAGGTGGGACAAGTGCACATGAAGCCGAACATGCCTTTGTCTGGAGTTCAGAGAACATAGTCAACAGAGAAAATGCTTTTAGCAGTAAATCAGTAGAATTAGACTGTTGCGGCATGGGAGCAGCAAAAGAATGCACAAAAGGTAGAAGTTCATTGCAGTCCGTAGGACCCAAAATCTCTAAGTCACCTAAATCAACAGTGAAAGTGTCTGGGGAACGATTGCACCCTGAAATGGAGAGAAAAGGCCAAATTCCTAATGAATTAAGTAGGTTTTTGGTATTTCTTTCTTCATATTTTAGCCATGTCATTTGTAGTTTTTTATTCAATTTTCATGCATAAGTTTCTGGAATGACAGGTAACAAACCGGGACCTGGAATCAATGGAGTTTCTAGCATTGGAGTTATGGAGATGACGGGTTTACGAAGGTCATCAAAGCTTGCCAGGCAGGATTTTCCTGCACTCTATGGTGATAGACATAAGAATATAAAGGTCAGTTCCTATACATTTATCTATGATTGTTTTCTTTCCACTCCTGTTTTTGAGTTAAATTGTTTCATGGGGATCTTGAATTGTGAATGAAAAACCCTATCCTATTGTCACAGATGCTGTTTCCTTATGAAGAATTTGTAAATTTCTTTCGGTGTGAAGTCTTTGAGTTATCACCAAGGGGCCTTCTAAATTGTGGAAACAGGTACCATTTTTGTTTCTTTTATTTCTCTGTGATCTGGATTGCCTTTTTGGATTTTTCAGAGGATGACTTGTTTGTATGCATATAAAAGAAAGTCGTAGGACTTCCTGTTTTATGCACTCATTGTAGTTTTCATTTTGCAGTTGCTATGCAAATGCTGTGCTGCAGTGCTTAACCTGCACGAAGCCTCTCAGCATTTATTTGCTACATGGATCTCATTCAAGAACCTGTACTTGCTTTAATGTGTCTTGCTTGTGTTTTCTTTTCATACTGATATTGACACCTTTTGATTCCATGCATAGCTCACTTCGTAGTAATTGTAGGTTATGGGAAAGATTGGTGTCTTATGTGTGAGCTTGAACAACATATTATGTTATTAAGAGATGCTGGGGGGCCCTTGTCACCTAGTAGGATCCTTTCACACATCCGAAGTATTAATGGCCAGATGGGTGATGGAAATCAGGAAGATGCACACGAGTTCTTGAGGTCTATAGAATTCACGAGCCAATATTCCCCGGCTCCCTTCATTTCCCCTCATTTATATGTCTAGATTTGTTAATTTCGATTTGGAATTTGATGCTTTTCACTTTATGTAAGAATGGAAATTTCATCACCTTGCCTCTCTGAAAGTTAAATTCTTGTCTATTTCAGACTCTTGGTTGCTTCAATGCAATCTATATGCTTGGAGAGATTAGGTGGGGAACAAAAGGTTGACCCCAGGTTGCAAGAGACGACATTTATACAACATACTTTCAGAGGGCGCCTTACGTCAAAGGTGTTTATAACTATTTTACTTTGTTTTACTTTTATATCACGGTATATTTTTGTGGTGCTTAATTTTATCTTTCCTTGATTCATTCATGTATATGTACATTTTTTTGTTGCCTATATTGAATATCCGTGTAACCAGGTGAAGTGTCTTAGATGTTCTCACGAGTCAGAAAGATACGAAAACATTATGGATCTTACTTTGGAGATATATGGTTGGGTTGAGTCACTGGAAGATGCTTTAACTCAGTTTACAACACCTGAAGATTTGGATGGAGAAAACATGTACAGATGTGAAAGGTATGAAACATTGTTTCAGTGAGTTATCATTTTATCATTTTATTAGAACTATCAACTAATTTGTTCTAACTTTAATTTATTGTCTCTGCAAATATTTTTGTTAAAAGGTGTTCTAGTTATGCTCGAGCTCGGAAGCAGTTGCGCATACACGAGGCTCCTAACATCCTGACGATTGTCTTAAAGAGGTTTCAGGTATTACTTTGCTGTTTGCTCTTCTGTTAATTTCATGTCATAAATGCAACAGTGTATCTCAGAATTTACATCTCTGTTGTTTACTTATGAAAGAATTTAGCCATCATAGGTTTCGATATCGAGTGGTTCATCTTTTCATTCCTTTATGTGTATCTGTTGTTTGAGTATATTATTTTTAGTGATTATTTCTTGATGTTTCTGTTACTTGATCAGGAGGGAAAATATGGGAAAATAAACAAGTGTATCACTTTTCCTGACATGCTGGACATGGTTCCTTTCATGACTGGAATGGGTGACATTCCTCCTCTTTACATGCTTTATGCTGTTGTGGTGCATTTAGATACACTCAATGCGTCTTTTTCCGGACATTATGTGTCATACATAAAAGATTTACGAGGCATTTGGTTCAGGATAGATGATACCGAGGTAAAGTTAGCATCAACATAATGGTTTTACTTGTTGAAAGCTCACTGGTCAAATATCTTTCTGCAACGGAATTGAAACACGGTTTCGGTGTACCCGCTTTCAGGTACATCCGGTCTCGATGAGCCAAGTGATGTCTGAGGATGCATACATCTTATTTTACATGAGGTAGGCATCTATTGATGTTTCTTTGTTGTATGAATGTTACTTGAATAATCTCTTCTAGTCTGAAAGTATGTGATTATTTCAAGGTCATACCCTCGGCCTCCAAGAGCAATCGCTGAAAAGACCAAGCAAGTTCCTACTAGGCACATCACTTCGACAATGGAGAAGCCTTCACGACCATCACAAAGAAAATCCAGCACCTACTCTGTTAGCCCCAAGTTTTACCCAGATTCTAGGCCTGAAATTGCCGCAGGCTGTATCAACCGCTACTCTAATGGCATTCTCCGGCAGAATGCAAGTAGTAACATTCATCGAGTGGTAGAGTTGTATGCCGAACTACCCAATTTGGAGTTCTCCGATGCTACATCATCAAGTGATTGGTCCCTTTTCACTAGCTCAGACGAGGCTTCATTTACAACAGAGAGTACTCGAGACTCTTTCAGTACCGTCGATCATGCCGATGCCAGCAATGGAGATCCATTCTCAATCCCCAATAACTTGTACACCCCAGAATCATCTTCTCGCAACTCAGTTTCGTGCAGAGTGTTTTCGACTAGTAGACCCCACACGAGGTACTTCTTAGAGGAAAAGGGTTATGTTCTGGATGAGGTACTTCTTAGAGGAGAAGGGTTATGCTCTGGATTCGTACTCGTCTTCCCGAATCGTGAACCAATATCAAGAGAACTTCAAACAGGTCTGTGATTCTTTGAAAGATTTTTCTTTAGATACTGATCATGGAATGTTTGTAAAATATGGGGGTAACCCCAAAAATACATTTGATAGGAACTTATGGTCATTGAGAATGGTAGTTCATGGAATATCCAAGTGATTAAATAGTGACTTAGCCAAGTTAAAAGTGTTGCCTCAATTTTTGTATTTTCAATGGCTTTGTTGATTGAGGCATTTGGATCATATGAAAGAACCCAAATGAAAGGATTATTTGATATTTTCTGAAGATTGTATATTGCAGACGTTTGTCTTGGGTTCTTTTAGGCAATGCTCAGTTTTGGGAACATTTTAATCCCCGTCTGCCGGCACTGAAGGGATACATACATACACATACTTGAAGCTTTGGAAAGTGATCATCATAAGAAATTGAACTTCAGCTTGGAGTGAAAGAAAAACCAGTAGATACAGACCCTCTTTTTCTCATACAAAGTTCAGATATTTAAAACATACGTAAATTTCATTACTGTCCTGTAACTTGCAGTCGAGGAAGCTAGCTGAGTTATTTTGATACTTGAACAGGCAAGAACTCATCTTCCAAATCAAACAACATCCAAATCTCATTCACCCTGCCACTAAATTCGAAAGGAGAGTTATACTGAGCAACCGTATAAACCGAAGCGCCATCATCTTTCCGAGTCTTGTCGATTGCAGCAGACCAAACAGTGCCTTCAAGACTGGCTTGCAAAGCAGCAGCTTCCTCTGCAATGTTATAGTCCGTAACAAATCCCCCGAATTGCCTTATCGCTACGTAAGTCGATTCCCATCTTTGGAGATGGAGGCCTTCAGCTGGCGGCGGATTCGCCTGGTCCACCTTTGGGACATAAAAACTGACGGTAAACTATGACTCACAGAAGGGTCCATCGCTTGGTAAAACTTCAGTGATCACTGGACCTGTCATTTCTATCTGCTGCTCGTACTTGTTCTTCCCTTGAATGTAGTCAAATAGCCTACAAGCAAAGTAGGAACCATAAGCTTCCATTAATCTGTAGTTTTTGAAACTTTGAAGCAAAGAAAACAGATTTAATAAGTGGTGATTATGATAGTAAAACTTACTGAAGAAAGCCAGTCCTGGTGGCCTGAACAAGAGAAATATCCTGAATAGGAGAAGTTGACATCCACACACTGGAGTTGTACCTGCGAATCTCATAGCCATTGCCTTGTTGAATGACGTCGAAACTTGGGCACTCGATCCGATTGCACGTAGGTGGAAATATCCCAACGTTGTTCTTGGTGGTTTCTGACAGGAAACCAATGTTTGAGAGCAGACTCAAGAGCAGTGATAGCTTGAGAGGGATGAAAGCAGCCATTGATGGAGGTTTTTCCCAGTGAAAGTTAAAAAAAAAAATTATTAGTTTCAAGGGTACACGGGTTCTTTTATTGTGATTGAAGACTCGGTGTTTCAGGGCCACACATTTACAAGGCCGAGCTTGGTGGATGTTTAGTGAAGTCAGCTTCAGCCACATATGGCAATTAAAAACTACACGTGGGTAATCTTTAATGTACGATTTTTAATTCTAAAATAAAAATATTCATACTCAAATCCATAATTTTTAAGAATAACACAATTATGAGATAATTTAATTCGTACTCTCTTAATTTCTTGTTTTATGATTTTGTATTGAGCGTGACATGGTTAACATAATACAAGTACATACTGCTGTGTTAAAGAAATCCAACAACGACAAATAAAACAAGGAGTCAACACCTTAAATGAATATTCATCCCCTAATATTTTACACAGAATATAAAATATAATGTCATGATAGAAGGTAAAATGAGGGACAAATATAAGAAACTAGAGATTGCTCGAGATTGGGGATTAGGGCACGAGGAAGGAACAATTGATATTGTCACGATGGAAGGTGAAAGAGGGGGGGGGGGAAATGTGAGAAATTAAGGATTAGAGCACGAGGAAGGATCAATTGATTTGAAGATGGAATCTAAAGAGCAGCAGCTAGACGATGACGTTTTGATGCCTAGCATTGAAAAGCAGGTTAACCGAGAATAAGACAAAATAGACAAGTGTTCTAGAGAATATATATGCTCAAACGATGTAATACAAGGATATGAATGAATTTATGCAAAGTTCTGATTTTTCTTCAACCTACGCTCTTCTCCTTTAACCTAAAATTCTGAAATTCACCCTTCAAACGTGACAAATTGGTATCAAAGCTAGAAAAAAAAACCAAACTTTTTTTCAAGCTGGGAAAATTGAAAAAAAACTCGAACCATGGTAGAAAAATCAAATTTGGAAGCTATACAGGACCAAGTCATTGGAATGCAAAGTAAAATGGACGATCAACAAAAGAGAATAGAGGACAAAATGTAAAGTCTCGACTCCAGAATGCATAATCTAGAAGCTGGATTGGAGGATAACAAGTCCGGGTTGGCAAAGATTTTGAGGATTCTTATCGGAAACGATAAGGAACCAGAAAAACAAACAAAACCGGGCATCTAGATCGATGAAGGTAAATTTTTTAAACCTAATCTCAAAAAAATGAAGGACGATCCTTGACACAAGTGACTGTTATTGAAGAAACCGAACGATATAAACCAGGGGAACCAGGTGTCTTAGCTCTTAACCCTTTTCCCTCTAGTTCCCAAAATCCTACCTTTATACACTCCCAGACACCTAAGCCAAATGATTATTTGAATGAACCATTAAAACTTACTGAACATCAACCTAAGGGGAGAGCAAATCAGTATCAGGTTGATGAAGGCTTCAGACCATGTAATCTCTGACTTAAAATAGAGCTAAAAACATTTGATGGGAACAATCCTAGAGGCTGGGTAAAAAAGTGTCAAAAGTGTTTTTCATTGTTTGCTATACCAGACCATCGAAAGTTAGAAGTGGTTGCTATGTATTTAGTCGAAAAAACGAAAATGTGGTTCGATGGTTATATTATGCAACAAAACCAAGTAACATGGTCGGAGTTTGTAGTGGATCTTTGCCAACGATTTTGTGACAGAACATATGCATATACAATGGAAGAGTTCAATAAACCGTGGCAAAGAAATTCGATTGAGGAGTACCAAGAACAATTCGAAGAGCTGAAACCCTTTATACTACAAAACAACCCTTATTTGAAAAAAAATGTATTTTGTTTCCAGCTTTGTTAGTGGATTAAAAGAAGAGATCAAACATAGGGTTAAACTCCAACAACCAAGAAAATTAGTAGCAGCTTACAGGCAAAGTAAGCTTATTGAGTTGTCCTTGGAGCTTGAAGCAAAAAAGTTCATGTCCACACCAAAACTGGTGACTCATTATTTCCAGGGACTTTACACTTTGCCCACTGCTAAGGCAACATCCAATTTTCAAGTAAACAACAGTAAACAGTCACTTCAAGAATTCATGAGGACGAATAATCTCTATTTTAAATGTGGAGAAAAAATTCAACTGGGGCACCAATGTAAACTCAAGCAGTTAATGTCATGGAAGATGAAGATTCTCAGGAACCAACGACAGACGAGTAGCAAGAAAGGGCGGATATATTGTTGGAAAACAATAAAGGAGATTTACAAATTTCCATCAATGCTTTAATTGGAAGCATCGGCCATAACACCCTACGAATTCAAGGGTCTATTAAGGGCAAACCATTGAATATTCTCGTGGACAGTGGCAACACTCATAGCTTTGTGACAGCTACTTGGGCTAAGGAGTGGAAGCCATTGACCCTAATCGACTAACTATAACGGTTGCCAATGCCGAAAATTTGTATAGCACAACAAAGAACAAACAACTGAGTTGGCGCATGCAGGGCCACCAATTTGAACATGACTTTCGAGTTTTAAAAATGGGAGGTAGTGACATGGTGCTTGGGGTAGACTGGATGTGTAAATTTAGCCCAATTACCATGGATTTTCGAGGACAGACTTTGAGTTTCCAAAAAGATGCTCAAACTATTGTCCTACATGGAGGAAGACCTAGTAATGTGAAATTAATTTCTGGACAGAAATTACATAAGCTCACATGGGAGAGATTTATTTGCTCAGCACAGAGGTTGAAGAAACGATAATTCCAGCAGACCTTCAACAACTTTTGGACAAATATAAGAGTGTATTTGCTGAACCTCAGGGTATGTCACCGGAAGGATCACAGGATCATGCTATAACCATTAAGAGTGGTACACAACTAGTTAAGGCCATACAGGTTTCCACATCACCAAAGAACAGAAGTCGAAAAACAGATCACTAACATATTGACCTCTTTCTGTTATCTGAACCATCAAAAGCCCTTTTACATCACCATGTCTGTTAGTGAAGAAGAAAGATGGTTCTTGGAGGCTGTGTGTGGACTACAAACAATTGAATGTATTGACTATCAAGAACAAATTTTCAATTCCTGTTGTCGAGGATTTGTTGGATGAGTTATCCGGGACAAAATGTTTCTCGAAAATTGATTTACGCTCAGGTTATTGGCAGATCAGAATTAAACCTGAGGATATCCCCAAAACAACATTTCGAACACATGGCCACTTTGAATTTAAAGTGATGCCTTTTGGTTTGAAAAACGCACCAACCAGTTTTCAGTCTGTGATGAACCAGCTCTTTAGCCCTTATTTAAGGAGGTTTGTTTTGGTCTTTTTTGATGACATTTTAGTTTACAGTCCTAATTGGTAGCAACATCTTTCACATTTGGAATTGATTTTGAATTTACTGCAAACTAATAGTCTATTTGCCAAGAGAAGCAAATGTTTTTTTGGCCAGGATCAGGTAGAGTATTTGGGATACATCATTTCATTTGCTGGAGTTGCCACTGACCCCTCTAAGGTAGCAGCAATGAGTAATTGGCTTCTACCACACAATTTAAAATCTTTGCGTGGATTCCTTGGTTTTACTGGCTACTATGGAAAACTTATCCAAAATTATGGAGGTATTAGTAGGCCACTGACAAACATGTTAAAAAAGGACAGCTTCAAATGGTCTAAAGAAGCATTGGAAACTTTTGAAATTTTGAAGAAAGCTATGCGTCATGCCCTTATCTTGGCACTTCCTAATTTTTTCAAAACATTTTGTTTGGAAACGGACGTAAGTTATAAAG